AAAAAAAGAGATAGGTTCCCACCAAATACCTCATTAAGAGATATAACCAAGCAGCAGACAGACATGTATCCCTCTTCCAGGATCAGATATAAGACATACAGCCCATAAAGGAAGAACATAACATCTCTGAAATGTCAGCTGGAGTCAGTACATGTCGTGTTCAGGAAGTTGTCAATCATTTTTAAAGTCACTTACCCAGAGGCCACTGTACGGATGAGAGGGAAGGGATGATCCTTTATTTTAGTTGTGGTGAAAAACGAGGCAGTGTTTTGCAGACAACATACAGTAGGCTTAATGTGACAGCTGAGGCAAGAAGAATGACTTTCTTTGGGTCAGGGGTCGAAAAACAGGATCTATAAACAGTTATTAAGTGGTGGAAAGTGAGGAAGTATATGACCTCAAGTGATGTACATGCATCGTTTTAATTTATGTTACTTTATTCTACACATCAGACGAAAGAATTATACTTTTTATTCTGCTGCATCTAACTAACAACTGTGAAAATACAGAATGAAATTATGTGACGAGCTTGTTCAGTGATCCATTGCTTCAGATTAGATGTAGGTTAATACATAATAATTGCTACTTGCTAGTATTTAGATCCTTTACTTCTATCAAGGATCTTGATAATTCTTCCACTACCACAGCAAACAACAAAAGCTACCAGAAAAGACTATCCCTAATTCTTCTTCCTGGTTTGACCATAAAGTGAAGTCTTGTATCATCAGCATACATGTAACACCTCCTTCACCTGCAAATATATCTGAAAGAGACACAAGAAGGACCAGAACGATGCTAAATGACCATAAAAATGCGCAAAATGGCCACAAAGAGATGTAAAACAACTATAACGATGCAAACTGACTGCAAATAATGAAAAAAATTCCAAACAACTACAATTTCTAGTGTCTTTAGTGGCTACTATGTAAGAGGGGTATGGTTCCTTTTAGATGTCTGTGTCCAGGGGCACATTGTTTCATAATCCGTCCACAGAGAGTGGAGTGGACCACCATTAAATATTGATAACAAAATAAGCACATTCACATGGGAGACAGACTTTGGTGATGGAGTAAGATCTGCTCATACAGTAACAGACCCACTGCCATGAATAGACCTTCATGCATGCTAATGTCTGCAGAGACTAATGGAGGAGACATCTTGGTGCCTTCAGACGCACAGGAGAGTGCCGGTGCCCAGGGGAGGGATTGGCAGAGTCGAGCTCACTCGATGCTCGTGCACATGCCCACTGGGGATTTGCCTCCACCAATGTAGTGCACCCTGCAATAGCTGAGCTGATACACCCCTATAATACTATTAAAAAGATGCACATCGCTGGTGGCAGAGCCAGTTGCCCTCTAATCAAGAGTAAAAGCAAACAGACTCAGTATGATAGTATGTGGAGGTTGCCAAATGAACATAATGAGTGGTTATCAGTATTTGTAGAAAGAACATGTTATATCTCATCAAGAGTTCAATTAAATGCCCAGACCATGTATGAAAGAAATATTTTATTCCTCACATTTGAATAACAATAGAGGCCATCTTTGCTGGGTGCTGCAGGCAGCTTGTATTGTGTCCCATGTTTGGTTTGGGACACAACCAGTATATTTACATAATCTGAATTAAATGTAAATCAAGCTGTTTCATCTGTGTCTCCATGGATTCGAGGGGTTAAAGCGTGTGCTCGAAAACAGCACCCCTCAGCAGGGGGAAAGACCTTTCATTGTTGAGAAATCTGGAGTTTAAGGCCTGGAGCATCTTCTTTTCAGCAAACCTCTGCGTTTTTTTAAAAATTTACCCCTGATGGCCCCTGAAGGAAAGAGGATAGCCAGTTTGTATTTATGATACAATTCACGTAAATGAGGCTGTTTGGCCTTAATCCTTGCCTAATTAAGTGCCAGTCTGCTGAGGCAGACTGCTAAGGGCCAAAGCGTAATACCTGTCGAATTATGGGAACAGCTGGAGCAGCCTGCCTGTCAGCAGATCAGCTCCACATTATTATCCTGCTCATTTATCAGGAGGGTAAAACAGAGAGACTCCCAACTAGTACGTTGGCCGTCTTTATTTCTGTTGCCATTCTTTCCCAATTAGGCTCTGCCGTATGTGATGGCTACACATCCATGTGTGGCTCATAATTTTGTGAAATATGGAGACTGTTGCTGGGTGTTTGAAGTGGAAAAAGCAACTTAATTGATGATGCTGTTTTATTTCACAATGTGTGGACCACAGAGGACACTGCTGTCTGTCTGAAAGCTTCAGCTGCAGTAGCCAGAAAACGGTGATACCTCTAAATGCCATGCATTCATTAATGAAAACCTCATCAAATTAACATTGAAATCATCATGGAGTGAATAATGAATAACGCAGAGCTGTTTGCCAAGGGGGAATTTAATTAATCAAACAATCAAAATTAATAGTCTGCATGTGGAGGTGAAAAAGAATAGAAAAATATCTGTGATGCTCCCCTTTTTCTCTCCCCCTTTGATTTAACTTCAAAGATGAGGAGCCCTTCTGTAGCATCGGTGGCTTTGTAAATATGCAGCATAAAGCCAAATGTGTTGTTATTCACGAATGCTGTGACCTACATAGTAACATTTACAATTCGCCCCTCTGTGATCAGCAGCTAATCAAGGCTGCCCTAGTTAAACACTGCTAGGGAGCGTCGGTGTGTTGGCAGGCAAAATTCGGTCTCTGCAAAACATAAAGAAAAACACTGAACAACTGAATGACAGCAAAGAGATTATTTTCGAATCATGATTGATGATGACACCTTATAGAAAACAGTCTCCAATTGAAATTATACAAGTTGAATAATTAAAACTCTGAATTTGTGTTTTTTTTTTTTTTGTTTGTTTGTTGAATACGTCTTCAGTTTGAGCATCTTGTTTGTTTTCAATAACAAAGAAGTACCCTCAACTATAATCTGAATATTGTTACCATTAAAAGTAGACACATCTATTAAGTCTTGTATTTGACGCATTGGTTTGGATGTATCGCCACCTGCTGGACACTCAGAGCTGGTGCTGGTGGATTAATCAGAGAAACATTTGGGTTGTGAGTTATAGGGATCATCCTGTGCTCATTTTAACATTTGTTATCATACAGTATTCATATTATCTCTTTCAGTCTATTACTGCAAAAGGGAAAACGTGCAATAAATGCAGGTTTCATGCAAGTTCAGTCAATAAATTGATGAACATTTCAATAGTTACCTCTTAGTGACAATATTGTTGTTTCATCTAACCCTAAATAATCCCATGTTGCAATCTTTTGAGTCTTTTTATGTGTTGTATACCCGTTTCCAGCTGTATGTGAGGAGTTCATATTCTGTCCACGTCAGCATCACCTAGGTTACTCCATTTCAGCTGTGTTTTGTGTACAGTACGCTGAAAGGCAAATGGCAGCTCAGTGTTGGCTCAGTAAAGCAAGTTTATTTGTATAGTGGCTTTCAACAGCAAGACATTTTCATAAGAGCTTTACATTACAAGAATAAAACCACCTGGAGTCAAAATCTTAAAGATATACAAGGCAATATGAAAAGAAACACACATATATGACTTTAAAATAATATAAATAAGTAAAAAAAAAAAAAACATACCGTACATTGCTATTATAGAGCAGTGCAAGATAACAATAGATTATCTTAAACTTAATATAGTAAAGGCAGCAGAAAACAAAAAACTAGTCAGGATGGAGCTCATATTCACTGCACATTGCATATAGAGTATATATTTTTCATTTGTAGTTTTCTATTTTCTATTATATTTTATAATATTCTTATTTGTGATACTATTGTATGTACACTGTACTTTTTTTATTGTGGTATTTTCCTAAATGCTGCTGTGTGTAATTTGAATTTCTCCTACTGGGGATTAATAAAGGTATATCTTATCTTATCTTATCTTATCTTATTTTAATTACTTTATGTACAATAACAAAGCATCATATTTAATCAGTTGATTATCTATTTTCAATTGGAAATCTTAATATGCAAATATAGTGGATATGAAATCTGAATATATAATATATATATAAAATATGAACTAAGGTTACATACTAGTACCTCATAATTGTACTCATAGCAAATACATAAATTAAAAGTAAATTTAACTACATTTATAATATTTCTGTACTTTTGGGTAAACCTTTTAAAGCAGGACTTTGTCTTTAAATAGGTAGATTTTTATATTGTGGTTGTTTTACTTAAGTAAAGATCTGAGAAGACAAACACTAAAATCACTAAATCTGTCTCAGAAGACTTTCCCTAGCATCTTCCATGAGTTCCCTTTAGTTGTGGTAAAGTATTTTATAAAGTTATGGAGAAACTAATATTTCATCACAAACATGGCCAACTCTAGAGCTTCCACAAGGTGGCAGAATACACCACAAGAAATATTTTTGTGCAGCAGCTGTAGTCTTCAGCACCTCAGATCAATTCAATATAATACACAATATACAGGTTTATGTGAAAGCTACAGTGAGACACTGACCTCTTGTAATAGCTGGTTAAGCATTGAGGACTAGGCTCGTCCACTACAGACATCATCTTATTGTTAGACATAAAGTACGGCCATTTATTTGTCTGAACGATTTAAATATTTAGTTTCTTTCCATCAAGGGCTGCAACTAACTTTAATTTCCTAAATTAATTGTTTGGTCCATAAAATGTAAAAAAAAATGTGAAAAATGTCAATTTCAACAATCTCTGTTCCCCAAAGCCCAAGGTAACGTCCTCAAATGTTCTGTATTTGTCCACAACCCAAATATATTCAGTTTACTGTCACAGAGGACTGAAGAAACCAGAAAACATTCACATTTGAGAAGCTGAAATCAGAGAATTTGGACAATCTTCTTAAAAAATTACTCAAAACGATTAATTAATTATCAAAATAATTAATTTAATAGTTGACAACTAATCAATTAATAGTTGCAGCTCTTTTTCCATTTATAGCTCATTCTTTTGAAATCAGACTGAAGAATTAAATAGAAGCAAAACCAGATTTTAAAGAGATATTAAAAGGTTTATTACAACAACTTATCAATTCAAACTTTATACAGAACTTTCACAAGTTACAAGTACACTTTCAACACAGTATCACACCCCCCCTTTTTTTTAGCAGTTAAGCCGAGGTCAAAGAAATAACCAAAGCTTCCATAAACTCAGAGCCACAACTCAAGTTGAAACAACTTGTTTAATGATATTTATCTGACTGAGACATTATCGAATAAACAGTTAAATTCTCGCGGAGAATTATTATCTCATGCAGATAATACATAACAGTAAAATTTAAAAAAAAATCATACTTTAATAAAACAATGTGTTAGCTTCTCGTAAAACTACACAGTAGTAAGCCAGTACAGACTAAGAGAAAAAGGCAAATTGACTTAATGGTGTGATTTGCTTCCTACTATTATTTCAATGATGAAATGCTCACAATTCTTACAAGCAGTAGTAGTGTTACTCTAATATATATGATGCGATTCCAGTTCACATCTGAATGCTTTAATCTTACATGACAATGTATCGAGTCCGGGAGAGGCCTATCCTAATGATTGAAACATTGTTCAGATCAGTTTACAACATTAATGTGATCAACAGGGCTCAGCTACTGAATCCAGACTATTCTATAAAAAAAAAACAAAGTACATAACACCTAGAAAGATCACATACAATGTATCATCGATGTTATTTACAATGTTTTCTAAAAACGTCCTCTAGAATTGCAATCATGAAAACAGCATAATGTCCTTAAGTGTTCTGCGTTAGACACTGAAGCCATAAACAGTCACTTATAAAGCAAAGACAGTATACAAAGCAAGGTTTTTCAAAACTGAGAAACTATGTTCATGAGACCCTTAATCTGAGAGAACAGCGATCAACTAAAGCTAATCTGCATTAAAAATGTACAGATGTAATTTATACAAAAACATTAATGGCACTGAGTCAACATCACCATGACTGAGTAATGGAAAAAGGTACTGCAATCCTACAATCACTGCTTCAGGAACAATCAGACTACAGGTGGAATGTTAATGAAATAACAAACATTTCTAACCAGCTCACCTCCTTAAGACTATTTCTTTACTTTTGTTTTTCATTTTTTATTTTGTACAAACATTCAAACTGCACGATGCAACTACAGCTGATCTCACAGAAAAGTTGTCAAATTTAAAAATCTGATTCAGCCATTTACATTTGTGTAATGTGTTATTCAAATCTACTTCTAAAAAGCTGCCAGTACTTAACATGTGGACTGTTTAAAATCCCCCCCCCCAAAAAAAAAAACGTGCAGTCATGTGAAAAACTACAGACACCCCCATGAAACGTTTTTTGACATATGGACCCATTAATATTTGGTCCTCGCTGAAACTTTATAGATAAGAGGAGACTTAATTGAACAAAAGAAAATAATTTATTCCACAATAAAGATATTATTTTCATCTTGGTTTGGTTTCAGTAACTCGTATTGCCTCATTTGGCAGAAACAACTTCATGTCAACGTTTCCAATAATTGTCTACCAGCCTTTGATGGTGACTGGGAGTAATATTTGCCCACTCTTCCATGCAGAACTTTCAACTGAGGTCTTTCTTGTATGTACAGCTCGTTTCAAATCACCGACAGCATTTCAATCTGATTCAGGTCTGGACTTCGCCTAGGCCATTCCATCTTTTGTGGATTTACTGGTGTGCTTTGGATCATTATCCCGTTGGAAGGTCCACTTCTTCACTTTTAACTTCCTAACAGATGGCCTCACATTCTCCTCAAGCACTCTCTGGTATGACGGTGATGATCATAAGTCGATCAGGTCCCGAGGCAGCAAAAGCAGCCCCAAAACTATCACATTGCCACAACCATGCTTTACAGTAGCTATGAGGTTCCTCTGGTCAAATGCGGTCTTTGATTTTTTGCCAAACAACTGTATCTTTGACATTGTTCCAGAAATCCTGGTGCTTGCTTAGATAATCATTGGCAAACTTTAGCCTTGCCTTGATGTGCTTTGCAGACAGCAAAGGGTTTTCTCCTGGCACACCATCCCATCCCAATCCATGCACTGTTCAAATTAAGCTCAAATATCTCCATGTCTAAACACATTTATTTGGGGCGCACTTACTTTTTCACGTGACTGTAAACCCGTCATCTCTCAAAATGTGCAAAATGGAAAAAGCAAATTATTAAAAAAAAGTCACTGCTCTCTATGTAACATCATCATAAAGATAGTGCTTATAAAAACACATGAAAACAAACCAGCAAGCTAATTAGAAATGAGCCACAACACACTTTGGTATGGTCTCTAACAATTCACTGATCAACCTTCAGGCTGCCTTCAAATAAAAAAATATATAAGATTAATAAATAAAGTCACACAAATACAAAAACATCTCAGAACCACGTGTTTTACATCTTACACCTAAAGTGCCTGTTCTTTTGTCTTCATCAATTCCAGAGAAAACGTTGCATTTTCAAAAGCATTGCCTACGCAGGACAAAATGGACCAATCATAAACAAACAAAATCAAGAATAAATTAAAAACAGTGCGGTCCAAACTGAAGCTGAGATAGAATCCCTTTCCTCTGTTTGTCAGAGGGATTGAGGAGGCGACAGCACTCCAGTGTTGACGCTTAAACGCACAGTTTGAGACGATCAACTCCCTGAAGGCTGAGACTGGGTGGCGCCCCTCCGCGGCTGGCTCTCCTCTGTGCTCTGGTTTGAAGTGGTGGTGGTGGCGGAAGCGCTGGACGGGGCGGAGGCGGCCGGGGTCGCGGAGGAGGAGCTGACCCCGTTGGAGGTGCTGATGGAGCTGTGCTGGATGGCCTCGTTCTGGGGGCTGCCGGGGACTGACATCTCCTCGCAGCTCTCGTCTTTATCAGAGACTGTCGGGAAAAGAAGAGAGAATAAGAAGCTCCTCTCATTACAGTGTTTTGGATTTTCCTACGCCGCCGTTTCCCGCCGTCTTAATTATTAGCATTTACCTGATGTGATCCAGAAAGGCTCGGGAAAGCTTTGTCATGTAGGCCTAATCAGATGTAAAACAGCTATTTGCATGTGGTGTATGCAAACTGTTTCATTAATCCCCATAATGCTACTTCTGCACCCCTTCCTTTAATTAAAGCTCCAATGTCAATTTAAACCCACATCATAAGGGTACATTACATTCTGGGGCATGTGGCAGTGTTTCCCACCCCTAACTGCATTCTCATTTGTTTTTTGTTACCTTGCCAACTACTGCAGCGACAGATGATTACAGCACCTGATTTTAATGATGCTCACACTGGAGAGTAGGGAAGACTTGGAGTCGAAATGCCACCAGCTGTTAGGCAGTTGCATTGAATTAATTGGATCCTGATGGAAAAAAAAAAGACTCTACTCTCATGCTCTGTTTCGTAAAGGAATAAGGAGCACAGTGATAATTAATATTGTTAATGATTTGAAGTCACTTGTTATGGCACTTTCTAATTAATGACTGGGTTTCGTATTTGAGAATGTAAAATACAGATTCCACAGCAAGAAGAAGCAATTAATGCGCAATACAAATGTCTTCACATTAGAGGCCTCGTCTGCCTTTCTGACTGGACTTTGACCGCGTGATTTAGTGCAAGTGAATGTCAAAGTGCTATAAACTGCCTTGCTGTTTTACTATGCAGAAGGTCAACCTCCGAATAAATCAGCTTGGTGGTTTTGTTCCATGTTCAAGTGAACATTATTACTCCTAACGACATTAAGGGGTGGCTTGCTGATATATCATAATACTCAGAAATTCTGGTTCCCTGGGTGGCCAGAGCTTCTTTCTGCTCTCTTGATTTCTGAAGTGGGGTTCGCTGTAAGCAGATGGACAGCTTGGTGTGCCAAGTGAAAGCATGTCCTGGCTTGTTTGTGGGGCAGTCTGGGTAATTTCCTCCCACCTGCCATGGCTACGCCTGGGCAGGACGATGAAGGGTATTACCAGGTCTGGAGGGCAGCGTAGCCTTACGGGATGTGTAACACTCACAAACTGGAGGGCTTGATGAGGCCTTTACATGAGCCACAGATCAGTCAGAATTAAATAATGTGCTTTACTAATTAGGCAAGATAGATTATTTGATGGTGATTCCCAACCAGGGGTACTCGTGCTCCAGGGTGTGCTTATGCAGTTGCCAGAGGGTACGTGGAAAGATTGTGGTGTGGCTTAACTAATTTTAAGAAATTACAATTTAATTAAAAAATATTGAGTTAGCCTCAAATTACGTGTTGAGATTGAAAGTGCGTGAAAAAACTGTTTGCAAGCAAGCAGAGATGTCTAATCGGGTTAGCTAAAAATAATGAACAGTTCAAATAGATTAACGGCTGAAATAGCTACAACGTTTTGGATCGTTTTAGCTATTTCACTTCTTAAGTAGTTGACTAGTGGATACAATTTGATATGAAATGTTAGAAGTAATGTTAGGCTGAATGGTTGAACTATCTAGTTTCTACCACCCTAAATGTCAGTAGCATGAACGCAAACTTGTCCAAACGGATCCAAACACTGACAGTTCAATTGTCTTAGATATTGTAACAATATCCACTTTTCTATAATCCATAGTGTTGGGCAACATCTAGTTTAAAATCAATTGTAATAAACACATTTAGAACATGATGGGTGACGTTGATTAAGGGGCACTTGAGCTCATCTGACAGGGCTGTGGGCGGAAATCAGACAAAGAGGGTTGGGAACCACGGGATCATTTAATCCTGCTCAATAGAGTGAAAACATCAAATTGTGATTATTTTGATAGATATAGTGATTGTGATATGATTCACAATTAGTGTCAAAATGATCATTTTTGCATCACAACTTTAATTTTCACTGAAAAAAAACCCCAACAATTAAAATTATGATGATATTACGTTCATAAAGAATGGCAGCTTCTGCGATTTTCAATTAATTGTGCAGCCCTATACCAGACATTTATTGTCTCTCTCACATTAGTTGGCTTTCCTTCTTGGCTTGTCTAAACTCTACCCCACCTGTCATCATGAGCCAAACTGACGAACTAGGGTATTTGGATGAGGTTATATTTTCCCAAACAGGGTAAAAAGTGCTCCAAATGTCATCCTTCAGAAAGGTCTGGAAACACAGGACAGACGTCCTCAGCAAACACATGAGAAAGATGACCCAATTCATCTGTGGATTTTGCTACAATAAAAAAACCAAAACAATCCAGACGATACCAAATGAGACCTGGCTCTGACAGCCCACTCTAGCCTGGAAACCATCAGTCCCATAATACGCATGACGTGTGTCAGTGGGATGGTTAGCAATAAGGGATGCATAATGAACAGCCTAGCTTGCTGGACACCCCACAACGAGAATGCTCTGCAGTCTTGTCAAGCTTGCTGCTTTAATGGACTCATTTCAGAGGCAATCATTGTCAATACAAGTCAGTGGAGGCGTTTAAAGCACAGTGGAAAAGTGGCTTGGAGCACACTTGTTCTCGTTGCATACTGGCTAGTCTGCGAGGAAAGGTGAGTTATGACCAGAGAGTCAGAATGACAGAGCCCCAGTCTCAGGAAATGAAGAAATATTGGTGATATAATTCTAAACGAGACCATGTGATTGAACAAGAGCTGGCACGGAGATGACACCATACAGGCTGACATCAGGAAATTTAAATGAAGAAGCTGAAAACTGCAGAATATTCTCTTATACTCAGAATTCATAAAGATGATCATTGTAGGTAAGCTAAAAGAATTCAAAGTTACATTTTAATTACCACATGTAGGTGTTACAAAAGAGAGAGATCATACTTTCTCATCCATTTCTTGACAACCAAGCATTTGGTTTTTGTTCCTGCAGACATTCAGCTTGATCTGACAAATGTTTATTTAGGTGTCAAATGAGGAGAAAAAACCACTTTCTTGCAGGTAACACCTGTGGCCTCCTGAAAGGACTTGGACAATGCCGCTAGCGAGAATCTGTCTGAAACAACAAAGCCCATAAATATCTAAAGTTTTGCAGAGTTTTTTCTAAAACAAAAAGAAGAAGTGATCTAATATGTCAATAGCTCTTTCTGTTTGGCCTTAAGTAAGACATGTCCTTCTAGTGGTTTGCTGGAGCTCATTTTAGCAGCGTTTCACTGGAAGCCTCGGGCTGAGAATAATGGAGCATTACTCACTGTGATAGCCAGATTTCTTCTGCATGGCGGTTACAGGGCAATCTTTATGAGCCAGAAGAAGCTGCTTCAGCTGAGCCACTTCGTTTCTCAGCAGGGTGACTTCACTCTTTGGGAGAGAGAAGACACAACAGCACTCAATAAAATGGTCACTCTGGAGCACACAGTACGCCAGACTACAACATGAAGACAAACAGACCACATGTGGATAAAGTTCAAATCTGTAAAAAAAAAATATATATATTTTCCGAAACCATTTAGAGGTCAGATTTCAGATAATTAAAATATAACTAAGTTTAAAGATCCCCTCCAGACATAGGTCATATGTACAAATAATGCTTGGAACAATAATGCGCATCTGATATGTTTTTCCTGCCAGAAAGTATAATTTCCACATTCAAATCCTTAAATCCTACTCCTTCAGCCTCATTAAAAATTCCCAAATCTATGAATATGCAAGTTTTCCTGTTGGACACAAGATATCTCCCACTTCACTGTAAAGTCCATTCTCAGTGTTTGTGCACTGGTGGCTACAGGTTTCTACATCACACTTGTAGAAGTTGAATACTGGACTAGAGTTGACTTCCAAACTATTTGTGATGTTACAAAGCATGCTCTTAAGCCCCACCCCTTAAATCAGATGTTCAGTGAGCACAGAGAAACTTTCCACTTTCAGCAGATGAATGTGAAAACTTCTAGTGTCATTCTGCACAGTGAAGCTCAAACATCTGACTGTAGGAACAAGAAGAAAAACATAATTTTAAGTGAAGGAGGACTTTAAGCGTATGTTTGAACTAGAGTCTGACTGATACTGATATTTGAGACTTCCAAAAAACAATGCATCAGCCGTTAGTAATTTGTTCTTTTACATAAAGACACAATGTATGGAACACAACATTTTCAATTAGGATTAGAATTTAGTTTTTTTAATAATTGTGATATGTATTGAGCGGGGTATTTTAAAGTTTGAAAATTGTGTTAGTGCTCTCTGGTGGACAAACTGTATGTATGCATCACTGTAACGATGACACTGTTTCTTAACTGTTTCACATCTTAAGCTTTTCACTACGGTTGTTGTTACACTTTGGCCCATACTGATGTATCTGCAAAAAGAAAATATCAGCAGATGCATGGGCCTGTCCTATTGGTCCAGCTCTAGTCGGAACCCAAGAAAGGGAGCTAGAATAAAGCTTCTGAGGTCTGAATGGGATATTAAGAGAAATAAGAAATACAGATATATACACTAAATGCTGACTTCAGTATATACTGTACACCAAACTGCAGGTCAAACGTGGCTTTGGCCCTTCTTTATATAAATAGCCATACCTTTTATTCACCACAGGATCTTAATGCCAATTATTAATGGGTTCACAGGGTTTAAATTCTCAAGACCTCCTCTGTACAGTAAGTACAAGACCACTAAATTACTGCACATGAACTCATATTTTCCCCCACGAGAAACAGCAAACACAGGGAAAAGTAACACAACACAATGAATGAATTCAGAATAAAGTGTGATGCACTTCTTCATTTATGTTTTTCCTGCACAATAATTATGGGCCTTCACTGGCTACCGACCAGCACATTTGTCAGAGGTGAGCTGCTCGGATTGTCAGTGCAACTTTGTAGATGCTGCTGAGATTTACACACTCGTGTCGTTACAGCTCCCAGGGGAGCTGAGGATTTCTGCATGTCGTAAAAGGGAGCCACATTACGCTGAAGGTGACTTTAACTGGATTTAGAGCGGCCAGGGGCCCCGCGGAACACCCAATGGCAGATTTAAGCTCCTTCTCTTCTCCTTTAAAGGACTATGGGCGGCTTAATCTATTAGTCTAAAAGCAGCCAATTTATTTGATTCCATCTGTTTAGTCTTGCTAGTGTTGGCAGGGCTGAGCTATTGTAAGACAGATTTAAACACAGCTGGAAGGAGCGTGTGTATCACATGTAGCCAATGCCATATTCACTGCGTTTCCACCATGACTGCTGCCAGTTGCACCCAATATAAAAACCGGCGTTCCTTTAAAACTCTCCCTTTAATCCATAGAGAAGCACACAGGACAGACTTGTACACAAAAGTTTGAAATATCAACATCCAATACAAAAAGCAAACAACAGCTTAGCAGTGAATACAACGTGGTTGGTTGATTTTCATTAGACTAGACTAGAGGATGAAGTAAAAACCATGACAGTAATACCGCCACTGACGCTCCAGCTACAGCAACATCAAACTGCATCACACCTGGAATTTCAAACTAAACTGGACTTTTGAGAGTTAAACTTGTTTCTAACTTTGTGAATTAATCGAAATTGAGCAAATGGGCCTTGGGTAATGCTGGGAGCCCTGTGAGCTGCCTGGTCTGACACCTCATTAAAAAGCCAGTTAAGGATGATGTTAAAATAATTGTGCATCATTAGAGGCAGTTTCACTGATCAGCTGGGCCATGTCAGCATGGGGGTTTTAACAAAAACTGCACAGCTGATTAATGCCTTCATATAAAGCGCCCTTTTATTCTCTGCCACATGTTGTTCCCTTCTTTGTAGTTAACAGTGAATCGATCTGTTTATAACCCCATTCGCACACCTTTCCTCCCCCCTTTTTATCTACCTACATTTAAATAAAAGTGCACCCATGACAAGTGGTGATAACTTGTTTTTGAACCAAATATTAACGACATGAACCCATTTCTTTTGCACTGCTGTCTGTCCCCTCCTCCACCCTCCACATCTTATTCTGATTTCATAGAAAAATGAGACAGTGAGCAAATAAACACCACATCTCATTTAATTGTCTGGAACACCGATGTGCCGCACCCCCGGCTCACACTTATCAACAGAGACAGCAGATACATGAACTGTTTCGAACTTGTCAGCATCAGATCCTAATTGCTTCCAGCAAAATGAAGGTTCAAAAAGACACCTTTCCCTAGGAGATTTTTGAGGCCATTCAGTAAACTGCTGAGACAGAAGCGAAGACACGCTTGTGCGCGGCTGACATCTGGAGGATACATCTTTATTGACAGGGACATATCGATGTAAAGGGCTCACACACCGCTGCTGTCACACGGCAGGTCTTCTTAATCGGCTTTAATGACTTCATCACCGCAGAAGGAAAAAGTCTGTGTACATGCGCTTACACCAACAGCACACGAAGATAAACAGACACAGGCATGCATGCATGCATGCATACACACACTGACGCACTGATGCACAAGAGCACAAAAACAAAGACAGATGAAGCAGCTTTTGTTACATGCAGTAACTGAAGGGAAGACGTAAAGAGCACCTGTAGTTGTCCGTTCATGGAGCTGAGGTCCTCAGACTTCTTTTCCAGAGACTGGACCCACACTTTCCTCTTCTGCCTACAGCGAGAGGCTGCAGCCCGGTTACGCTCTAGGAACTTGCGTCGCTTCTCGTCGGGGTCTTCGCTTGTGGTTCTGCGCCGCCGACCCCCTGTGCTTGGAGGGTTTTGCGCAGGGGGCACTGGGGAAGCCTGAAACACAATAATAATACAAAACAATAACTAGCAGAACAAAACCACCACCACATCTGTAATGTCCTGCAGCACTGAATACTGCACAGTGAATAACTGTACCGGTAAAATAAAAATACTGGAGTTAAAATTTAGTTGCCTTTACATGCAGATCAAGAAAGTAATTTCACCAAGTAACCAATCGGACATGTCAGTTTACACACAGAAATATGTAACATTATCAAATCCAGCTTCAGGTCATCTTAACATCATGTATTATATTATTGCTGCAGTGCTTACAAAAGGCTTTATAATAAGGCAGGAATAATTGTCAGACGTAGATGAAAGCACATCGATCTACAGATTCAGGTTGGGTATTGTTTGTATGTTTGATGCTACTGCTAAAATACCTATACCTGTGTGTTTGTATGAAATACTAAACATTTCTCTACAAACATAATTTCAAAACTGGCAAGATTTTTATTTAAATGAGAAACTATCTGATCAAAAAATTGGTCCTACTCCTACTTTACATACTGTCTGCACTTGTGAGACACATTTAAATTGAATGATGACTCTAAAAATGTATTCTTTGACCATGATAACATGGTCTGATAAGGAACAAACTGGATTATTATGCTTCATGTGCACACACCAACAGATTGCAGATACAAACTGTTGTGAAGTTGTGAATACGTACAGGTGTCTCTGTGGTGGAGGTGGCTGGCTGCTGAAGGGAATGGGGAGAAGGTTCCTCAGTCGTGGGCAGGTGTGGAGTCGGAGCAGGACTTAGGACCGTGGGCGGGGCTGGAGTTGGAGTCGGAGGCGGAGCAGGAGAAGCGGGAGCGGCGGTGTGGGTTACAGCACTGCTCTGGACTTCTCCACCATCTCCATTGGTTACCTGAGGAAGCTGCTGGCTTAATGTGGCTTTCAGTTTCTGGGAAGAGAATTTGGCACAGAGGAAAACAATTATTAATTGCAAAGAAATGGTTGGTAAACTATATTCAGTTATGTAAACACAGTAAAAAGGAGGTCATGTGGACAGTAGATATTTCTGCTATATTATCCTTCATCATTCAAGGTAACACTTTTGAAGTAGAATATCAAAGTTTATTTTCACTGGTTGTTAAGGCATGTTTTACTCTACATTAACAACATACCTATATTTAACTATGTATTTTGAGCAACAGATTAGCTATTAAGGTTATTATAATTACCTGCAAATGCAAGTATTCATTAAATTTTAATGATATTAATCTAACACAAACACATTAATTAGACTACAACAAACTAAGCATGAGGCCTAAATGTTTTCCTGTATTTCTAAAAGAAATTCCACGTCCGGCAAAAATCAAAGCGCTGGTCTACTCAGCCTACATCGAACACATTCAGCAGTCTATAAAGACCTACTGTGTTGAAAACAAAAGAAATTTCAAAACAAACCTCAACAGCTGATAAATATGTGTGCATAAAGAAGTTATATAAGTATTTTGATATTCCATTTCACATGATTTTAAACATTAGTCAAGAATAACTGACATGAAGAAGTACTGAAATAGTAAAGACAATAATTCTAAAAACGAGGCTAAAATGAACTCTAATCTAATATAAGCATGTAACACAACTCACATTTATTTAACATATGTTTAGGTTGCAAAATTATCTGGATACCAAAGGTGATGCACATCCACAGCACATAATGTCAGCCAAACAATCAAAAAATTTACTTTTTTGAGCATTGACAAAGACACACACACACACACACACACACACACAGAAACTATTTCTCTGCAGATTGGCGTCCATGATTCACAGACTATCAAAACACTGAGCAAACAAGGTGAAAGTGAATGAGCCTTTCGAAGCAATAACAAAGTGAGAGGGAATACATTTACATGAGAAAACAGAGGACCACATTATTCTAACAACTACCTTTGCCAGACCAATCTATCTACCAAATTAGTTTATCGTGTAATACCCTTCCAGAAGCTCTTCTGGCAGAAACAAGATATTATTCTCTTGGAATGGCCCATAGAAAGAGGGAAAAGCCAGTCAGATTCATATTTCATCTCTGCCATGGAAACCTCATCAGTGTAATAACCCTCCATCTCATGGGTGTTATTCAACCATCTGCTACTATATTACTTATCTTTATTTTGCAACTAATTAACAGCATAATCTTCTAAATTCAGCAAGTTAATTATCATTATTGTGGTCTTTGCAGCATCATCAGTCCTTGTAAAGTGCCGTCTCTGCGCCCCCTGAGAGCCGGGTGGGGGCGGGGAGCAGGCAGGTTGAGCGGGGGTCTGTTTTCTTGACGCGGGCTCATTAGGTGTTTGCTGATGAGCTGAGTGCAGTGGGAGGTGCCGGGAGTAAGAGGGGGGATGCAGGTCAGGCAGGATTCTGCTGAACAAAAGGTTCCATGCAGGGTGAGGCCGACTTAATGTGCCTCGCTGAGCGTGTGCCAGGATGCCCCCAGCTGGCTTTCGCTGGTAGCCCCCCTCTGGTTGGCCCCGGTGACGGCGTGCTGAGCACAACGCTGTCTCCACGTTTGTCATCTCCGTACCCCATGATCCTCGACAACCCCCTCTCCCTCCACCTCGCCAGTCAGGATCAATCCTTCCCTCCCAACACACACACACACACACCTCCTCTCCGCAGTTTATCTGTTAATTTCCACAGGCGGAGCATGCTGTGAACACTTACAGGTTCTGTGATCCGTGCTTCATCACATTGCCACTGATCTCCCACACAACACTTCATATCCCTGCCCTTCAACTATCACTTTTTATACAGGTTACAACACTGCTACGATTGTCTTCTCCCAACAGAGAAACATAAGGAATATTTCAGTTTACTTTAAGTAGCTGGAGACGGATGCCAATTATGATTATTTTCATTATCAGTTAATCTGTAGATTATTTTTCTCAATAAACTGATTCATCGTTTCGTCTATAAAATGTAAAAAAGTTTACTATCATCTATGGCATGAAAGCAGTGAATCTTTGCATTTTTATGGGTATCAACCATTTGATTCATTGTAATGGTTTATTGTCACTGTTTTGTGAAGCGCTTTGGGCTGCAGGAATAGTGCTAATATTATAAATTTTAATTATTACTACTTAGAGATGGTAGAACCAGCAATTGTTTAGTATTTTGCTTGAAATCTATTTAATTAAACGATATAATAATTATAAAAAATATTATGCGTTATGTCAACTGACTAATCAATTAATGAAATAAATATTAAATGGTAGAATCCTGATGGACAGTCCATCGATTGAGGGGGGGGGGCATTAATTAAAAATCTAACACAGTTTTTGGAATAATCCACGCCCCACCTTTCACTATCGCCCTCATCTGGTCAATGGAAGTAACTGCTCTCTTCCCGTCAAGCATACTCATTACTTTGGTTATTATCTTTCTCAGATGGGAAATAACAGACTGAACATGGAAATAACATTTGATGTAAAAGAAAATATAATTAATACCAGCTTTGCTTCTGATTGGACGGGCTGTGGCTGCGGCTGCGGCTGCGGCTGCGGCTGCGGCTGCGGCGAGGGAGGTCCTGGGATCCCGGGGACATTAGGCACTACGGTGACAGGTCTGACAAGCTGACGGCAGAGACACAGAGACAGATCAGCACAGAGAAAATTAGTCTTCGGCAGTAAAAAGGCAGGCAGCGCTCCCCCGTAACACAAACACACACACACACACACACACACACACACACACACAGCCACGGCAGGCTCTCAGAGTTTCCTCATATCTCAGCCTCATTACGTTGGATGGCCTGTTATTTTGTGGAGGCAGCGCCACATGGAGATGCAGTGTGCACGCTAATGAACCTCTGCCTGCCTGCGTGAGAGCATATGGACAGGGAAGCTGAAGAGAGGATGGAGAGACACGAGTCGGAAGGCCAGAGCCAGGCCTCCTCTCGCAGACGCTGACAATGAGACAGAGGCAGGTGGGGAGAGCTGGAGAGGGATAGAAAGATAGGGGGGAGAGGAGGGGTGATCGAGTGTGAGGGAGGCCCACTGGTGGCTCATGTTCTCCATCTACTTCTGCCCTCCTTTACTTGTCAGCGGCTTTCCCAATCCCCACAGACTGGGAAGATAGAGGTTTTTTCCCTGCTGTGCCGCTATCAGGAGATAATCATCTGCTGCTCAGTGTTCCACACAGACAATCAGGACTACAGTGAACAACAAGACAAGCTTCCACATGGGGGAGTTAAAAAAAAAATACTACAAGACCTTCATTTACAACATATTTCCTACATGAGACAGTGTCATGGGTTGCAGTTATAATTGGTTTGCGAAACACATTAGTACTATCATCTATCTGCTCTGCCAGAAATCAAGAGCGTTGATTCTAATTGTACAAGGACAAATAGCAGTGAAGTATCCTGGACTGGAGCCTGCTGTGCCTCAGCCAAATCCCTTGTCTTTGCGACAGTGACACACAGTTGTACTCTGTAGTCCATTATTTCACTCAACCTCTACAGCTCTGCACTGACTGCCAAATCTGAGGTGCCAAAGCTGTAAATAGCCCCTCTGTCCAAGTAGAGTAAAGTAAATATGTGGTATTAATGTATCTGAATGTCACTTTAAAAGGACTTCAATTTTACTGATGTGAATTATTGTCCGTACAACGTTTCAAATTTAAAATGTGAGTAACAAACAGTAAACTTGTGCCCAGCAAAGCATAAAGTAATTTGACCCAGTCCAGTGATTTTGTTATTCCACTCACTGGACTAAAATAGTACTCTAAAATTACTTGGCTTGAGAAAACAAATGCTTTGGTTCATTAGTCGGTTCATCCTTGTTCTTGTAAACGGTGGTCGACAAAATCATCTCACTTCAAGGTTCGTTTAGTGGTTGTTCTCGAGCATTGGGACATGATTGAGAGTTCCAGAACAGCTACTAAATGGACCTTGAGGGTGATTTTTTTGTCGACGGCTCTTTTCAAGGTCAAGAATGAACTCTGGAGCTCAACTTTTAAGCCAATATGAATGAGAAGTCCTCGCTCAGAAAAGATATACCGAGTTCAATGAGAACTGGACAAACTCTATCTGCTGATGAAGATTATTAAAGCTATTAAAAGGGGTGAGATTGTTTTGTTTCTTAATTTTTTTGTCAGTGACATCCCTATTTGTTCAGTGAGTAAAGGTCACCGCATGATTAAATGATCAGAAATATCAAAATTCTGCTTTAACTCTGACACACTGAAACACAAGGTGAACATGACGTTACCGGCAGAGCACTCACAGGGATTGCAGTTGGAATATGTACACTTGAGCTTGTAATAGATGCAGGTATAGCGACTGGCATGGTCTGGCCGTTAGGCAGCTGTAAGAGCACGGGGAAGGTGCCAGACACCGGGCTGAAGGGAGGGAGAGAGAAAAGAAAACCAGATTAGAAAAACAACAAAGAACTTTGTGATTAACACACAACACAGAATCTGTCACAAACTAAAGACAAGAGTGGCTACTAATATACCAACATAATGTCATAATCAGGCAACGACTTAAGGAAATAAAGTGGAACTAAAACAAAATCCAACTTAAAAAACCTTAAAACAGGTTCAAGCAATATTAATAAAAGGAACACGTTGTCACATTAGACCCCTAAGTGCCATCAGTCTTGCCCAGATATGGACTTTTAGGTTGGTAGAGCACATGGGATAGTCAAACATTCATTTAAATAATGGATATTTTTACCTATGTGAAACCTGTCTTAAAGCTGCACTCCTTACAATCGGTCTCAATTTGAAGCAATTTGATTTTACAACCAAAAAATGTATAAATTAATAATAAATCATCTGAATTGCTGAGGTATGAGCCCAGGGACACAGATTTAGAGAATATCGTAATCTTTATCCGTGTGTTACTGCAAATATAATTGTTCGGACAGCTCTCTAACAAGTCTAATTTGCCTCACTTTGACCTATGAAACTTACAGCAGCTGTGGCTCCGTCTCGCAAGCAATTGATGATTAAAATGTATATTTGACATGTATTCCCATTCGTCTGCCTCACTCTGACTAGCTTGTGCTTCACTGTACAGTACTCCAACCTACAATGTTTGTTCAATGACTCTGAAGCTCAAACATGAGCAGTTATCTACCTTGCCACATGCCAGTAACATTAAAGCACCTCATTGTTGTAACAAAGATAAAAATGTATTACAATATTTACTTTACTTCATGTTTTACAAGTAGAAGGTCCGATGAAGTTTTACACTTGCCTCACTCATGGAAGTTGTATTTGTTGAATTTAACAATAATCACATCTAAATGTATCTTTGTTAACATAACAAGAGCTTCAGGACACTATACAATACTGGATAAGGGCTTAATAGAGTGCGTAGGATTTAAAAGCCTGTGCTGAACATACACTGAGGCAGGAATTATTATGTGGTTGTTGGAGCTATGAGTCCATATTTGAGCAATGCTGATGTTGTTCTTGAAGACGGTACTTATGAGGTCTACAGGCAAAAACAAAAATTCCTGCAGTGCAAATAAATCAAAAACAAAACAAGCACATGCCTCATGAAATATGAGCTCACAGAGACAAAACTGCACAAATATAAATAAAAAAATAAAATAAAAAATAAAAAAAGATGACTTAATACTATGAAACTATGATTTTTAAAAATGGACATTTTGAGTTACTTACACTATAGGCCTATTAGTGGATGGGACTTGGGTAATAACAGAGCTAGATGTTGGTGATGGGAGAGCTTGCTGTATTACAACATTAGCCTCTGAGGTTGCTAGAAGTACATTGGGAACTTGGAGGGATGCAGGATGGACTATAGTGGATGTTGGCAGTGAGGCTGGCTGCAAAGATAAGTCCTGAAAACATCATACAAGACCTTAGCTGCAGTGTTTAATGAACACCAGATTCTTAAGAAAATTACTTCTTATGATAAAAATGATGCCCAAATTTCACCATATTCATCTCAAGATTAGGAATAAAACAAACGGAGAAAAAAAATTAGTCATCTAATATCTCTCCTGAGTTTCTCTAGATAATAATTACGTGCAGTACTGTTAGTATACTTTCACAAAATTAGACACAAATATCCTCTTAGAAAGTTGAGACAAAGTCAGACTGAAACAAGCAAATAATGTGATAATTTACTAGATTCAAATTCATACCAGTAAAAGAGTACATTACCAAAAACAGAAGCAGAACATCTTTCATTTACTCGTCATGACAACCTTATAAACTCTGTTTTTAGCAAAAAACACCAGAAACAGCTCATTCAAAGGCTTTACCTTGTCATCATTCGTAGTAGATTCGGGGTGAGGCAGAGGGCTGTCTCGATGCGCCTCCATAGGTGTGGGTTCCTCAATTTTGTTGCGTATGATAGGCGTTGCAAGAGGTGACAAATCCAAAGGTAACTACAGAAATATAGGAATAAATCAGATTTTTTTTTTTATTGCTCCGTCAACAAAACAGACCAGAAATAGAAATTTAAACTATGCAACAAACAGAAGTTAGTTAATCCACTGACTAAAAGTTTGACAACAAGAAAAACAACCTTTTTAATGTCATCTTCAGTTGCCTTTTTAAAGTCGTGGTCAAACGGACTTGCAAGTTCATTGAAGAGTCCCACCTCCTCACAGTTCTTCAAAAAGCGGGTAGGCGTAGGCGTTTGGTCTGCAGTGGAGGAAACATCTCAGTACACAGACTGTAATGTAAAGTATCAAATACTGTACATCCAAATATCTCAACTCCAAGAATACTCACCAGCAATGATGACACTGTCAGTCCTTGCTGGGCCAAACTTCAGTGTCATCTCATGTTTGTGTTTGTGGACAGCCAAGTGATCCTCATTTGTAAATCTCTATGTAAGATAAAAATAAAACAGACTGGACAATGAGGCAGGATCAGTTTGGAGATGGTCTGGAGCATCTGTCCATACTTTAAGCTTTTAAGTGCAACAAGTAATTTTTAAGTTCAGTTAAGTTTTAACAAACATTATGTCTTCTATTAAACATCTGTGATTATTCAGATTAAGCATTAAAGATGAATTGCTGCATCTTATAAATCTTTTAATATAAATGTGTGCTCCACTTGCTTCTAATATTTCATCAACATTTATATATTAATGAGGATATTAATCAGTTCCTACAAAAGCTGATTTTAATCTTCATGAATTTTAGATTTTAAATTGAGGTCCAGAAGTGGTGCACTCAGTTTATACAAACTTAATATGGTGAGTTTTTCAACAGGATGATACCAGCCAGTTTAAGACTCACAACCTCTGAAAGTGATGCCCTTCAGGCCAAGATACATGTAGGCATACATGACTGAACAAATACAACAATGCGGTGCACTGTGGAGAAACAGTTTTGAAGGGAATAAAACAACTACAACAAACACATAAGAGCTGTTGAATTAGTTTAACAAGGTGAATTGTGCAAATTTACTGAAATTATTTCCATAATTCTTTTATGCCTCTCCCTCAGATTATTTAAAATCTTAGCAATGCACCTGACCAAGTTGGAGGACCAATAGCAAGCAACTTCCCCCGGGCTCCATATCACCCTCAGAGGCTCTAAAAGCCCCAGGTTCACTGTACTTCACTTGCTTTTTGATAATTTGATTACATTACACGTGAATTTGTTTGTGAAACTGCACAACTTAAGTTCAAAATCAACTGAGTCTGCCATTGTTACATAATCTTGTTCATCATCTAGAGGGGCCCTTTTCTAAAAATGTAGCTCGAACACCTTTATTATTTTAGCTCAAGTTAGGTTCAGTGTGTAACATTTAGGAGGAGCTATTGCCAGAAATTAAAAATAATATTCATAGGTATGTTTTCATTAGTGTATAATCATCTGAAAATAAGAATCGTTGTGTTTGTGTTATCTTAGAACGAGCCATTTTATCTACAGATGCCATGGGTCACCTTTAATGGAGTCTCAATGTTTCTACAGTAACCCACCAAACACTGGCTGTAGATACAGACTTTTGCATTTTTCAAGAATAACACGGTCACCATAGTTCCTCCTACACACTCCCCAGCCGGTTCTCATTCCCAGGTCGTCCAATACAGACGCGAACAATGTTCAGTTAGTTGCAATCTGCTACATCACCGCTAGATGCCACTAAATCCTACACACTGTACTTTAAGTCGTGTCTCATTAATTCAACAATTACCAAACGTGACCAAAACAGTGCCACACAGACAAACTTTAGGACAGGTAGTATTGCAGTATAAAAGCAGCGATTGGTCTCTGTACAAAATATAATGAAGCTGCTATCTATAGCGGGCTATGTGCACTGTACATGATGGGAACTCGCAGGTCTTTGCCCAGGGTGATTGGAAATAGTGGCACTAAGTGACATTGATGATAAGAGAGATGACTTACCTGTCCACACCCAGGAGCAGTACATTGGAAAGGTTTATCATCACTCATATTAAGGGATTCCTGTTGTGTCACCCTGAAATAAAAACAAGAAAAAGCACAAGCAGGAGTTATATATGAGAACTAAAGATGTGCCTTTATGTGTGTACCAAGGGTTAAGTGATAGTAAAAAATAAATAAATAAAAAAGAAGCCCATTCAAGATGTAGAATAAACATTAATGTATTTAAACACACAGAGCTGATAGAGAGCTATAGAGGTGAAACTCCTGATAAAAGACACGTAGAAATATGGACAAAGCATATCGATGATGGGCGGCTGCTTTGGTTGTTTACACCTCAGTGTCACCATGAAAGACGATAAATTCTCGGTCCATTTATTTTGGTCCAAAATACGCCGGCTACAGCAGCACACCCCGAGCTGACACTGCTACCGCTTCATGTGCTGTGAACACAACTAACATATCACCACGAAAAGGCGTCACACACAAGCTACAGTGCGTTAATACAGAGATTATCTGTTCCAGTCGCTTCCATGGAGCCTGAGCCCTGCGTTAACATACTACCGTCGCCATATTTGGACCTAAATATGACTGTAAACAGAGGAGATGTCAACGTTTATTTCGAGGTCGTTGAGTTGTACCGGAGAACAAGTCCCTCGCAGTGACAGAAATTATGTCTCTTTAGCAGCCGCTTTGTACCCCATTCGCTATCAGTTTATGTGGTCACTTACCCCCTCAGCCACAACCCTTGATTTCCAAAATCCCACGTCTGTGTCGAAGTATCGCGAGAGTAGCGCGTGGGGCTCTTCCGTAAACGTCACACTCGCACGGGACCCTGTTTTGCATTTTACTGCATTTTTTTTCTTTGATCCTCAAGTAGTTTTTGGACAGGTATACACGATATCCTCCTCCATGTATGTTTTATGTATGTATAAAATATATTCTGCGCTCTTTGGTTTCAGACGATACATTTCTGAACACAATGTGTCTTTCTGAAATGTCCATTCTCCGTTCATATCTTATGGAGGCTTCAAGTTCAACACCACTCTTATGTAAGTTGCATACTCCTTGGTAGTTCAGTTTTAGTGCACCTCAAGTATCTGTTGGTGATCTGTGTTAACTTTTAATGTTAGTAGTAGTTCAGCTAACCTTCAATTATACTATTATGGATAGATGATTTGTCTTTTATAATCAGAAGGTTATTCAGGGCAATTAAACTGCAGCGTTGGATACATGTTTGCTTTCAATTTCATACTCAACTGTCAGCTACACAAGTTTCTTATGTTTGGTATTCTGTTTTTGATCCTTTCTGTCTATAAAAATGTATAAAGGCTCTCACTAGTTGAATTACTTTGCAGACAAAAAATAAGTAAAGATCAGCAGATCCCGACTCTCAAAGAAGCTGGAACCAATAAATCTTCAGCATTTGATTTTACAATAACTCATTTAAACTGATTTGTTTCAGCTTGAACTAAATTCAGTCCAATCCAAGCAGGCTGTGTGACAGAAAGGTCCAATCAATACAGAAACAACCCAGCAGGGACTCATGACACTGAAAAAAGTCAAAATCCATTATATAGCTCAATTAAATCATCTAGATTTATTTAATTGCCATTTACAAAAGCAAGCACTCACTTGCTGCCTAATTACAGTACCATTTAACTTCAGCTGAACCAAAAATCCATTAAGGTGGACCCCAAAAAGCTTGCATGTGATGTTCTGGAAAAAAAACAAGGCTGATTTATGGTAGATCTAAGCAGCTGCTTCACAGGAAAGTTGACATTCACGAAAGCCGACTGCTTTCTGCTGTGTTAACATGATACTCCAGACATAAAAGTTACTGCCATTGTTAAATAGTCAAATACATGTATTTTAATCACGTAATTTCTTACATTTGTACAATACATGTTTTTCTTATTTCGACAGTGTCTGAAGGACTTGAAAATGTACATTTCCATGACACCAACACGGAACAATTTTGGTAGCCACAATAAAATATGTAGTCACATCTGTAATGAAAGTGTTGTATGACAGCAGAGTTTTACATAGCAAACAGGATAAGGAAAGCAACCATCAAACAGAACAGTCCCATGGCTTCAGACAGGGCAAATCCCAGGATGGCATATGAGAACAGCTGCTGCTTCAGAGATGGGTTCCTGCAAACAAGAACAAACTGTCAATGCAGTCTACAAAAAATAAAAACACCACAAGAAACCTGTTAATTCAAGTAAATGTATGGAATTATTATCTGGATGGAAAGTGGTGAAAACAAACCTAGCATAGCCGATGATCAGACTGCCAAACACTGTCCCAATACCAGCTCCGGATCCAGCTACTCCGACCGTGGCAGCTCCGGCTCCGATAAACTTGGCAGCGGTGTCAATGTCCCTGCTGATAGCACTGGTCTGGAAGCCCCTCAGTGCGACCTGAGTGAGAGGGCTCTGTGGCATCACAGCAACATTGCTCTGAAGAAACAAACCAAAAAAAAGACAGAAACTGTAAACTTTCACCTTTAAAACCAATGACATGACACACTGAATAGTAATGCAACCATTAGTGATGATTGAACTGATTAAACAAACAAAAAAAATCTAATTTTCATGATCATTTTTAATGATTTTGTCAAGTATCAAAACCAGATAGTGATTGAACAATTCGTTCTTTGGCTGTTGGTGAGACTAATTTGAAACACTGTGCTTTTGACATTTATGACACTCATTTAGCATTTTATAGAGGAAATGACAGGAACCAATAAGTCCAAAACATGTTGTACATAATTAAAAGAAGTGTTAGAACAAGAGTTGCAGTCCCAGTAGAAAGTCTGTATTTCTTCTTCTTACCTCTGTTTTGATCTCAGGCCTGGACAGGACAGAGGCAGAGAGGGGTCTGTAAAGAGCCCGGGAACCAGCACGGACCTGCAGCAACAGGACGATTTGTTACAAAAAACACACAAACACACATTAAGACACGAAGCCTATTGTTAATGCTCGTCTGCAGGCACACGAGCAGGTGGAAGGCACCTTGAATGTCACTCAAGTGTCATTCACTGCAGTACACAGACTATACGACCTGTGGCCTTCACTGATCTGCAAGTACAGTCTGTGCTGTCTGAAAGTCACTCAGTAAAGAGTTTTTTTTGTTAACCTGACAAACTGAAATTAACATCGATAGGAGGCTACTAACAAATCCTGCTATTATAGTTTCTACTGGTGAGCCTGCTAGTGCAGCTAGAAACAGAAATATGACCTTGGATAATGAATAGTAACCCAAGCTGCATGTATTTGGGAGCTAACTATGCCCAAATGGACAAGGTAATTATTTGAGCATCGACTGCACAGGCCTGTGTTTGGGTTTCCAGGTGAAATCTTGCATTAAAGTCGGCTAACAAGGGCTCATAATGACCTTAGCTCACAAACATGGATTGAAAAATGTCCCCTGGAGGAGTAAAGCAAATGCACAGTGGCGGTTTACTGAAGATAAATTACATGCACCTTATTCATGAACATTAGAGCTACACTGCTACCATAGAAGAAGTCTATCATTCTGTGCTTTAGCATTAGCTCACTAGCCTGGTGGCCTAGACTGCAAATACCCTTGCCAGCCAGATACAGTCAAGTTCAACCAGAGGCCCACCGGACTCATCGGAGACATTACAAGAGCAAAACTCACATTCACAGCACGGAAACACACAGAAGACAGCAAACTCACCAGTGCCGGCGTGGAGACGAACTTTGCACAGGCGTACATTTTCTAATTTAGGTAGTTTTAACCGGTTCGGTCAAATCTGGTTGAAGCCCGGGTCTCTCTGAGGGGGGGGAAGACCGGAGAGAAGTAAGGTCAAACGACTGTAAAAAAGCTCCACAGAGAAAATAAAGGCATTCATATGTACATTCACATCCATTCTGCATGCTGTCCTCACTTGTGCGCCGCAAAGTGAAGCTACGAGAGAGGATGAGAGGGGATTTGTAAAGATACGCTTCTCATTCAAACTGCCATTACACACTTACCGACTGCAGAGGTCGAACCACAGTGGAAGAGTGCGCCTGCGCGGAGTGATGTATGTAGAGGCCCCGGATGAAGACAATGAAAGGTCATTTCACAGAAACTTTATTTAACATGATCACAGCAGCAATGTTCATTCACAAAACCAACGGATCTTTGTTTACTCTCTCTGTTTACTGATGGATGCACCTTAAATGTGTCAATACAGTTAAGACGGATGATAACTTATTTATCATTTATTTATTTATTTATCTATTAATTCTAATTAGTTGTATTGATGGAAATGTGCCCTTCCTGTTGGTCTCGCTCTGTTGACCTGAAAAAGTGTAAGTAAAATGGAATGTAAGATATTTTAATTTAAGATAAGATTAGATAAGAATTCATGTTGAACTGATGCTTTTGATAAAATAAGTTAGCCGTGTGCGTATTTACCTTTTAGTCATTAGCATGTACAGGGTTTAACCAGTTTGACTTGGAATTGACCTTTTTCACAACAAATATTTTGACATAATAAACACAGGTGTTGCCAATGATACTAATTAATTAATTAATTAAGTTTCTGTTCCATTTAGTGCAGCAGTCATCCAGTGAGCCAACATGCACGATAGCAGCGACCTCATTCTGTTTGACCTGAATGAAACAGAACCTTAATTAGTATCATTGGTAACACCCTGTGTTTACCCTACTCTTTCCTGTCAAAATGGCTGCTGTGAAAAAGGTCAATTGTCTGGAGGTTATTTTTTTCTCTGCTCGTAGTATTGACACTGACAGATCTTATGAGAAATCTTCTGATATGAACTGAGACTCAACTAATTATTAGATCATGAAAATCTAGGCCGCCATTTGGGACACAGAATAGGGAAGTCGGAAAGTATTGACATATTGTCCAAGGATACCATAAAATCCTAGAATATTTCCATTTGTGGGAATGGTCTAGCCATAAACAACACGGAGTCTTTGGTCAGTCAGTGTAATTAAACACCATATACAATAACTTCAACGTACAGCTGGAGCAAGCCAGTGCAGACTATATGAATGTGATACTATCAGAAAGCATTGAATGAGATCATTTTCCAACTTTAAAGCCACATAAAAGGGAAACTAAAGAGGAAAAATGGGATTTTAATGTGTTATTTGATTTCTGTAAAGCTCAATTCACAATAATAATATGGAGTTAATTTCTTTATTTCTTTATTTTATTTAAAATATTCTGGGGTGAATGTAAAGTCACACAACTCACGACTTCTGGGCGAGCTCTTGATAGTTCAATTGCATTTGTCTCTGTATGTATGGATGAGTGATAATGGTACAAATATAGAACCTTTTATTAAACCATATATTTATCCTAAAATGTCTAATTATTAAAATGTTATTGTAAACATTTCTGTAGGTAAGAAGGGGTAAAGTTAGGTACAAACATATGTTCCTGCACGGTAACAGTAGACCTTGGCTAAACTGTGGGAACGACTTCGGTTCGTGGGTGTAGCATTGCTGCAGGTCGAACCAGGAAATAGTGGCCACTTAGATGAGGTTTGCGTGATCCTACGAAAGACCATGTGCTTCCCGTTCCTGTATATTTGCACGTCCCTGTGTGCAGGTGTCACAGTGACACCTTTTTTAAGTGGATAAAAATGTAGCTGGAAAAAGAGAAATCCATTTCAAATGATAAGTAATTAGCATGACACCAGCACAGAGAGCTTAAAACATCTAAAAGACTCTCTTTTTGTCAAAT